CGTGTGGTAGTCAGTGGCTGAGGACCAGCTGTCCGCTGTCATTACTGCACGCACTTTACATGATAACCTAGGAGGTGGTAAGTCACCCTGATTCCATTCGGATGAGGCCTCGGGCCTGGAGCCCTGTGTCTTCCTGGGGGAGTTGTGCCAGCTGCCCCCACCCGTGTCCCATGATCCTGGCTATCAGAGGCCCTTCTGGCCCTCTGAGCCCCGGCTGTGGCATGGGCACTGGCGTGGGTCCACCTTCAGCACCCCACGCCCGCAGGCTCCCTGCCCCTGGACGGTGAGTTGACTGAGTGCCTCATCTGCATGGGAGGAGGATGAGAGTGCCTGTCTGCACACAGGAGGGCCGGGAGCAGTTCTCAGACGCTGTGAGCAGTACTGATGCCATCCAAAAGGGCCCGTGTGGAGCTGTGCTCATTGGTGCAGGATTTGGGGCGCCTCTCCATGATCAGCCTCAGGCGCCTCGGGCCCTGGGCTTGACTGTTGGCAGCTGGTGGATCAGCAGGTGTCTGTGTACCGTGTGTGCAGGGTGCTGGGTCCTCCAGGCAGGAATTCGCCAGGAAACAGCATGTTCGGTGGGTGCCCTGAGGGGCTCTCTCCTGCTCTGGGGGACGGCGGTGTGACCATAAAAGGTGGGGACACGTGGGCCTGTGGGGGTGTGTGTGGAAGGGAACAGGGAACCTCGGGAGGGCTGGCTAGGATGGGTGGGTCCGCTGTGTAGCCCCAGCAGGGCGGTATGAGGGGGCAGGCGGGTGGCTTGTCCTGCCACACGGGAAGCAGGTGGTTATTCAGCATCGGGTGTCCCTGCTCCCGGGGTCGCACCCTTCCTCCTTCTCAGAGAAGTCTGTCCTCTGCAAATACATTTCCTCGCCAATGTTTTCGTAACCCCCATCTAAGAAGCAAGCTGTTTGCACAGCCCCTCGGAGGGCAGACGGATGCTCGCTGTCCCTCTCGTGTTACTGGGATGTGTCCTGTCTCCCTGCCGCCTTTGACGGGGCAGCTCCTCGCTGCCTTCTCGTGTGAAGTCTTAGATCTTTGCAGGCTTTCCCGTCTGCTGCTTCTGCCTGGCCGAGTCCACTTTCCCTGGATGTCCACGTATTTTTGTTTTCTGCTGCCCTTAATCTCATGCTCTCTCTGAAGTTTTGAAAGAGGTAGCAGAAGTACAAGAGGATTTGTGAGCATTTTTTAAGTCAGCGTTTCAGACGTCGTATCTAAGGTTTTGATACTGTTCCCCTCCTACTGTTTGCTTACGTCCGTCCAGTTTTGGCATCTGCCGGCTTCTCTTTCCACCTGCGATCGGACCGGGTGTCTGCTCCCTGCGAGAACCCTGCTCTCTGCTTTTTGCCGCCCTGCCTGGTAGGGGCTTCGACCCCCGCAGTTCCACCTAAGACAGACGCCGTGGGTCTCAGTAATGGCCCTTTTTAGCCCAGTGCTTTTCAGACTGTGGCTGTGACCCGTCATTAGTGTGTGGAGCCAATGCTGTGCATCCGGCTCATGTAAAAACAATAGATTATGTTTGTTCTCACGTATAACAGTGAAGCCTGCATTGTAGTGGTGTGCGTGTGTGTTTGCGTTGTGGCATCTGCGATGAGATATAAAATGTACGTCGTAGTCAAATGTGTATGAAAGTCCCTGCTGTTCTCAAACGTACTGCTAAGCTTTTTATGAAGAAAAGCCATTTATAACCTGTCTCCAGTAAGTGGTTTTGTGCCTTGGGGGAATTGTCACGAGGCAGAGTGAGGCCCAGAGGAATGTTGCAGACATTCCTGCGTCAGAGGGAAGGATCACGGGGTGGGGGTACCTCGTGGTCGGTCCCTGCGGTTTTTAGAGGTTGAAGAAAGGCGGCCTTTCTGCAAAGTTGCAGAGGCCTCTCCTATGCCTTCTTCAGATCTTAGCTCCAATATGCTCCCCCCAGGAAGCCCTCCTGGATTGCCTCACTCCCATCTAGATGGGGTTCATCTGTCAGACGTGTCCATGGGGCTGCTCTTCTCACCGTCAGAGCACTCAGCTCGTTCTCAGTGATACAGTCATTACCATGGTCATCATGTTATTGATGTCTCCCCCCACCGCCACCCCTGCCATCCTGGAACAGGGCCTCCGCAGGGTGGGGGTGGGGGGGGCGGGCATCAGGTCTGCTTCGGTTGCTACACCTGCAGGAGCCAACACGGTGACGCCTAGTGCATCATCAGCACCTGTCTGCACCAGTGGCCTGGGGCCAAGACAGGGACACTGCCCAACAACAGCTGAGTGACACGGGGCATCCGTGGAACCCGCTGCTGTCCCCATGTCTCATTTCGGAAATAAGGGGGTAGGGTGGGATAGCCCGAGGAGAGGCAGGTGGGAGGGGGATTAAGGCGCCAGGAGCTCAGCAGAGGCCTGTAGTCCCTGTTCCTGTCCCCACTGAGACCGAACCCTCTTCTCTTGCCCCCATCCCTCCCTCAGGGAGAAGCATATTGGGCATATGCAGAATGCAGGCAAAACATCTCTTGGGTGACAGTCCCTTTTCCAGCTGTGCGCAGGGCCCCATAGTTCCAGGTTTTTCCCTGGTTGGAATGAGCGTTCAGGCCATGAAGCAAGTTAGTTGGAAGCAGCTCACTTGGATTCTGGGGTAGGCACAGCTGGTACAGATTTTAGCTGAAGCTCATGATTCCTGTTAGCCTGGGGCGGGCCCAGGGGCCCAGCCCGCCTGGGGGGAGGAGGGGCCGAGTGCCCTGGAGCACAGGTGGGTGGGTTTTCCTTCTCTGTCTCCGACAGTCTCTGAGGGTGAAGACCGAGAGGTGAGGAGAGGGGAGGATCAAGAAGTATTTCTGCAGTTGCCTTAGCAGAACAAACGTGTTTCCAGAAGCTGCTTTTGGAAACATTCCGTTTTAGGTGGAAGAAAAGGCTGGCGCTCCACGGGGTCCTACTGCCAGATGTTTGTCGGGGGCCTGCGCTCGGCCCATGGCCGGGGAGTCATGGGGCTTGGAACCGTGTCTCATTCAAGAGGTGGGACCTCCGTGGCCCGAGCATCATTTCCACAGCGACCAGCTGTGATGAGATGGGGTGGTGACCTGGCAGGACAATTGTAACAAGAAGCAGATGAGCTTTTGGGTAGAAACTCCCCTCTGCAGCCTTGAGCAGATCACATGTCACTGAATCTCGGCCTCCTGTCTCTGACCTGGAGAAGGAGTCTGATCTTTCGCTCGTGTGCAGAGGCACCACACTGGGGAAGCACGCATGTAGGTGCACATGCTAGTGGCACACACCCAACACGTCACATGCTGCACACGAGCTGCCACCCCTGCATTTGCCTGTTCCTGGGTGACGTCGGGAGCCCACCCCCAGCCCTTCGACCTGCACCACACACACTGCCCTGAGCTACACAGCTCTCCGCCTGGCTCCAGAGCAGTGAGCTCCCTGCTGCCCCAGGGCCTTTGCACCGCATTCCCTGCGTGATGCCGGGTGCTCCTCCCATTGGGCTGCCTGGCCATTTTCTCCCTTCATTCTGGTGTCTGTTTAAAGTCCCCTGACTAGACTGGCCCTACCAGACCACCCCACATAAAATGGCAACCCCAGAACCGCATACCCCTAATGCCTCAGTTTCTTCACAGCACTTACGACCCCTCGGAGACATGGCTGTCACTGTGTTTCTCCCCCACCTGCCTTGTTTTGAGTTTGCTTTGTCTGAGTTTGCTGTAACTATACAACTAGCACATAGTAGGCCGTTAACTCCTTGTGGAAGATCTTTTGATTTTGCTTTATTTTTTAATATATTTTTAAAGATTTTATTTACTTCTTTTTTAGAGAAGGGGAAGGGAAGGAGAAAGAAGGACAGAAACATCAATATGTGGCTGCCTCCTGCACCCCAACCTGGGGACCTGGCCTGCAATCCAGGCCTGTGCCCTGACTGGGAACTGAACAGGCGACACTTTGGTTCGCAGGCCTGCACTCAACCCACTGAGCTACACCAGCCAGAGCAGCTTTATTTATTTACTTACTTATTTTTAGGAGATGTAATTTCAAAGAATGAGTAGTAGCTTGCCCAAGGTCACATAGGTAGCGAGTGGTAAACAAGGATTTACACCCAGGTAGATACGGAGTCTGCCTTCCCTCCCACTTTTCCCTTCTGTCTGGGCACCGGCGGCTCTGCTCGTTTCTCTGGCTCTGTCTGTGTAACGCCAGGCCGGCCCCGCCCCGCCCAGCAGCACTTGCCCTAGACTCCAGCCTGCTGCCCGCACTGCTCCTGCCCAGGCCCCAGTGTGGTGTCCCTGGAGAACCTCGTGTGTGGCGTTCTGGAGCAGCAGCTGGTAGTCTGATCAGCTGACTCACAACCAGCGTGGGCGTGAACGGGCCAGGCCCCCTTGGCTCCAGAAGAGAACACGATGAGTGTGCTCAGACGCGTGTGTGCCAGGATGCCTGTGTCCTCTGGTGAGCGTGTGCCAGGATGTTTGTGTGCTTGCCTGCGTGTGTGCCGGGGTGGCCTCACTCCCCTCCTCGCGGGGGCAGACCCAGTAACAGCTGCAGAGAGTACATCCCTGGGGAGGTCTCACCCAGGGGTGTTTGGGGGGTGATTTTTTTGTTTAAACATCTATTTTGTGCTGCCTGGTGTTATGTAATAGGTGCCTTCTGTTTAATTTGTGCGTTACCTTTTCCGTCATATCCGGGATGCTTTGGCGTGACCGTGTTTCCTGGAAAGGAGGGACGAGCAGACAATAGTCTCCTTTTATGTGCAGCGTTAAGTGGTGCCAGACTTGGGGACACTGGTGGGTAGAGAATTCCGTTTACTGCACACGCACACGTCTTGATCTTCCATGTTACAATGAACTGTGCGTGTTCAGCCTTCCGTGCGCGGGCGGGGCACGGCTTGCTCGGGCTGTTTCCGGCCAGTTTGTTGATGGAACTGGTCAGAGCCGGCAGCCTGGGTGCTGTTCCCCACGTGGCTCCGTCCCCGGAGTGAGCGCACCTGGCCCTCTGGCCTCCGCCCCCGAGTCCCACACCCTCTGCTCTGCTCCTTTCAGGGAAGGTGCGATGGCGGGACTTCAACCAGGAGGCGTACGTTGGAGGGACCATGGTCCGCTCCGGGCAGGACCCCTACGCCCGCAACAAATTCAACCAAGTGGAGAGCGATAAGCTGCGGATGGACAGAGCCATACCTGACACCAGACACGACCAGTAAGTGCTAAGCCGGTGTTGCCGGGGCTCTGCCAGCTGTCCCGCTAACGGCGTCCGTTACTCTGAAACCGAATGGGGGTCTTTACGGGGTGGTGACACCAGGAAGAGCTCTGTGGTGCACGGCAGTGGAGCTGCACCCACAGGAGTCGAGCCACGAGGGGCCAGGGTCTGGTCTTGGAGATGCCCCGCGTGCTCCTGGAGGCTGCGTTGCTGGCCAGAGCACGGGCCCCAGCACGGGAAAGTTGGGCTACCGGCCCCGTGTTTACCAACCCGCCACTTGTTAAAGTATCTGGAGACCAGAAGGGGAAGGCAGGAACCCAGCAGGGCAGGTGCCGCGTGGAGCAGACAGCCAGGGGCCGGAGGGAAGGCCTGCGTGCTCAGGGGACGGTGTCCGCCTCTGTCTTGGTTCTTTGGGAATCGGGAGCCTGCAGGCGGAGGGCACCCGGGGTTTATCCGGCTCAGCTCAGGTCCGCAGGCATTGTGCCCCATGTTCTGTCACGCTTGTTGGGAAGGTGAGAGCTCCTCTGTACCTCTAAGTCCTGCTGCTGAGCATCTCGGAGTGGGAGGCAGCTCACCTGGACCTCCGTGGGCGAGTCTGGTTTCAGAGGAGGAGCCCCTGTGGAGGCCAGGGTGTTCCTGCGTGCTCAGGAGGGCTTCCTGCTCACCACGTTGCTGGTAGAGTCACTCATCCGTCACGTGACGGAGCACGGGTCACATCAGCTATGGCTCAGGCTGTGCTCCAGTCCTGTGATTTCAGCCACAAAAATCTCCTCTGCTCCAGCTGATGAGGGTGGACAGAGAGTCCTGGGTCCTGGGCCATCTGCTCCAAATCAGGAGTGTGGGAAGGTCGAGGCGGGGGTGGCCAGGAAGGTGAGACTTGAGCTGGAGGCGCCCGGGGAGAAGGGCACTAGTGCAGCCCTGACCGGCAGCCCGGGCTTCAGAGCACCAGCCAGGGGCCCCATTTCCCTGGGGTCAGGGGTGTACCAGGGGTTGAGAGGTGGATAAGCTGAAGGGAGACAAACGCCAACTAACTTACAGTTGACCCTTGAACCATACACAGTCAAAAATCTGCATATAACTTTTTGATTACCCCAAAACTTGAAGTTGTCCCTCAGTATCCACCAGGGATTGGTTCCAGGCCCCCTGCAGATACCAAGATCCACAGATGCTCAAGCCCCTGTATGAAATGCCGTAGATCAGTGTATACGGTCAGCCTGCTGCATCCACACTCCCAGCCGTGGGTCAGAAACACATGTGTATTTACTGAACAAAAACCTGTGTGTGAGTTGGACACGCACGGTTCAAACCAGTGCCCTTCGAGGGTCAGCTGTACACGTGGCCGCACGTTGAAGATCGGCTTTGGTTTCTAAGTTAGTAGCATCATTAAAAGAGGACTTTTCTTCTCTCTCCTACTTTCACAGACCTTTCCTGACAGAGTAGGTGCCAGCCAACCACCAGGCCCTTTCTTAGTGGCCTTCTCTGGGCTCTGGCCAGCTCCGTGCACCCACAGCCGCTCACGGTGTGTGGATTCACGGTTCTTTCAGAGCAGGGAGTGAGGGTGGGTGAGTGTGCGTGTGAGATAGTTTTAAGGTATGAAACATAAGATAGATGTGTGAACATGCCTCATACATAATACAGGAATCTCATTATTTTTCCCAATCCAGTTCGGAAGAGTGCCTTTGTCAAACATTTCCTGTAACCCATTCATTTTTTTAAGGTGACTTAACTCAGCGTAGCCCTCCTCATCACAGGTCGGCTGTTCCTCTGTAGTGGGAGCTGCTGGCCTGGGACTCAGGGCCCCCCAGGTTGCCCATGAGGGGCCTTGGGACTCTGTGTAGCCCTGTAGCTGTGTGAGCGGTCCCAGGTTGGTGCGTGCCTGCACACCTGGGGACAGGGTCCTAGATGCATGTGTCCCCACCGCCGTCCCTCCCCAGGGCACTTCGCACCCAGCCTCTGCCAAACACTCCTCGGGGTGGCTCACACCGTCCTGACGTGCTGTGGGATGTGAGGGTTGTCCTCGCTGCACGGAGAGGGACCCGAGGCTTCCACAGTGCCAGTGACTTGCCCAGTGAGTAGGAACAGCTGATCTCAATCCAGAAAGGGCTAACCGTGGCTGGAAGAGGGGCTCGGCCTAGACTCGGGGGTGTGGGGGGCGTCCTGGCAGCATCTCGCTCAGAAATCTCACGTGGTGAGTGGGCGTGACGGTGTGAGTTTCATTTCACCGTTTGGTGTGAGGGCTGGTCTCCCTCCAGGACTTGTGCTCCGCAGACCTCTCCTCGGAGCTGGGAAGGACCGTGTCCTTTCTTGTGGCTTGTCAGTATCAGTATGGGGCCAGGGGTGCGCCCCCATTGCAAGTCCCTTAAAAGTTCCTAAATCTATATATATACATATATTTTTTCCCACTTTTGAAACGGGACTTTGTCCAAACAGATGTTTGAATACCCATCCCAGGGTGGGCTGCGCTGGAGGTGGGTTTAATTTTAGCGCGGCTGCCTCGGGTTCATTTGCATGTGTTGAAGGAGCAGCTGGGAAGCCTTCGCGTCTGCTGCGGGTTTGAGCTAAATTAAAGAGCCCGCAGCAGCTGGACGTCTGGAGCCGAGCCAACCCGACATGCGCCCTTCAGAAGAACCCTTCTTACCGAGTGGCAGGTCAAGATCCAGAGATCAGGTCCCCTCGTTTGCATCTCCCCTGCCCCCTTTACCTAAAAGAGCTTTATAAAGCAGTTGACCTTCCCGCACAGATGCCCAGCTTTTGGTCTCTGAAGTGTCTCCTTCTGTGTTGGTCTGTGAAAATGCCCGCCCTGCAGAACTCAGTCTTCACGTGTGAAGAAATCCCAGACTCTCCAGCTCTTTAATTCTGCGGCCTTTATCATTTGTGTGACGTCACTTTGCCCAGTCACTGTGAGGGAGAAGCACAGTGTTCACGAGGGCTGGTCCCTCGTCTCTCGAGATCTCATTCACCAGCCATCTCGGCGAGGCCTCCCCTGGCACAGGGAGGGCGGCCCCCGGCCCCCATCCCAGCATCCCCCACCCTTCTTCCCTGCTTGATTTCCCCCCACAGTTCTTATCGCCACCTGTATACCATGTGTTCCCCTCACGTCTGTGTCCATCCTCTGCTCATTGGAGCAGTGGGTCGTGACATCCCGTGGTTCCTCAGACAACCTCTGGCACTTGGCACGATCAGCAGACATAGGCTGAGTGAGGGAGTGGATTTAGCGCAGCGCCGGTCCGTGGCGAGTGCCCAGCCCATCACCAGGAACACTGGCAGCGATGAGAGAGTGACAGAGAGTGAGGGGTGATGCGCAAGCCTGTGTGTGGATCCTGTGACCTCCAGGATGGGCCTCGAAGAGCCACGCTATGTGTGTCCTCCCAGGCCGGGAAGGTGTGCGGGACGGTCTGCCCTTCTGTCTCTCCTTTGGGGGTTTGAGCCCTGAAAAACCAAAGCAAAACAAAACAATACATGTGGGGCCATGTTACCTTTTTGAATGCATTCAAAATCTTGCCAAGAAAAAATGTTAACATGTAGCAGGAAGCATAGAAACACCCGTCATGTCATAGTAGAGATGACATGCAGAAAATACTAGCCTCTTAGAAATTAAAAAGATGAGCTCTGGCTGGTGTGGTTCAGCGGACTGAGTGCGGACCTGCTGGTTTGATTCCCAGTCAGGGCACATGCCTGGGTTGCAGGCCAGGTCCCCCATAAGGGGTGCATGAGAGGCAACCACACATGGATGTTTCTCTCCCTCTCTCTGTCCCTTCCCCTCTTTCTAAAAATAAGTAAATAAAGTCTTTTAAAAACTAGAAATTAAAGCGATGGTAGCCCATCTCTTTCTTGAAAGTACAGTTTCTCAACTAAAAAAAAAAAAGAAATGCTTTTCTGCCTCATTCGGTATTACTTGAAGTTTCAAATAAATTATCAAGACTGAAAGCAGATTAAAGCCAATGGGCATTTTGAAGGTGCTTTTCAGTCACCTCGTTTCCTCTCCCTCCCACACTGGGAAGCTGTGTCCTGGCGGAAGGTGGCGGGTAGATCTGGACCCTTGTGCAGGTGGGACCGCACTGATGGACCGGGCAGGGACTGTGTGTGTGGCTCCGGGTTCGTGGCTGGACCACGGAGAGTGACTGAGTGGCCTTAGGTGAGATGGGCAGGCTAGGAGTGGAGCAGGTGTTGGGGACACAGGAATAATTAAAATCTGCGTATGCTAATCTCAAGGTGCCCATTTTACCGGCAACGGGGACGTGTCTGGTGTTCGGGAGAAAGATCCTGGTAGAGATGCACATTTGGGGATGTTCAGTGCATGGGTGGTATTTAACCCCATGAGATTGGACGCCACCCCCTGGGCAGGAGACGGAACAAGAAGAGGCCTGAGGACTGAGCTTGGGCTGACTGCAGCCCCAGGGCTCTCGGCCGAGACTGGAAAGCTGAGGCCAGCACATGGGGTCCAGCCTCACGCTGACGGTCACCCACGATTTCAGGTGGGTCCCAGGCCCCAGGGAGAAGCCCTCCTGCTGCCCTCTTGGGGGTGGCGGGGGTGGGAAGGAAGTGATTGCCTGCAGAGCCCTCCCAGAATCCGACTCAGAAGGCTTGGGGTCCTGTTTTCTTTGTGTTCGCCTGAAAACGGATTTGACAGGCAAGTGACAGAAGAAGATGGAGTGGAGCCTGGGAAGTTTACAGAATATTATTCTGTCTGCTGGAGAGAGCTTGAGATGTTTACTTTCACGTTGTTTATGGGAGTAAAAGCAAATAAGCCCTCGCGGGAACAGCATTATCTTATTGTCTTCCCTCCTCCGTCAGCCGAGCGCCGTTTCTTTTCCTTTTATTTATTTATTTAGCCCCTTCACAGCGAGAGCCACTTGGTAAAAGAACAGATTTCACTCTGGTTTCAAAAGTTAAATTATTAGATGGTGTCTCCCTGTGTCGCCGCCTTTCCTTTTGTCCCTAAATTACACGCGGAGCGTCCCAGAACGTTTTCGTGTCTGACACTGAACTACCGTGCCCAC